CATATATCACATGTCACTTTTTGGCATGGGTGTGTCCGACTAGCACTCTTCTATCAACACAGGTACTAATGGAATGAGGAGCTGGAGTCCTGGCAAGTCGTGATGGGGTGAAGGCATAAGTACCGGCAGCTCTTTGACTTGCTGTCTGTTTTGAAAAATTATGCTCGGGTACATGCTGAAGCATGGCAGCAGATGGCCTTCCAGTGATCTGAGTATTACGTCCACCTAAGAAAGCAGTTCGCCTAGCTTTTAATAGAGGCTGCACAGGAATCTTCTGTACACCTTCGATGGAAGAAGTTAGTGGGGGAGATCCATGTTCTTTCCCAAACATTACCATTGCAGATATCAATGATGAATCTGATTTGCACATGGTTTGGTGTTGTTTACATATACTCTGACAACTCTTATAGAAAATACCTGGTCTGGTCTCAAGGTTTCTGATCCAGCCCTCAACCATATCACGCATGCTGTTTGAGAGATCAGATATCATTTCAGGGGAATGAGAGGGTTGAATAGGTAATGTTTCATAGGTGAGGTGTCATCATCCAAAGTCTCTTCAACAGCATTGAAATTTTCCTGAGCCTCTCTATTTTCCACAACTGTATTACCCCCATGGTCATCAGTTTTTCTGGAATGCAATTCAGGGGGGATTAGCTGCAGCGAGTCGAGCTGAGCCAGCGGACCCCGCCCGCGCGGGCCGCCGATCCCAGGAAAGGGCCGGGCTGGCGGCGCTGGCGCAGGTAGCGAGGTCCGGAGGCACCTGCTGCCGACGCCTGTCGCCGTCACGTTCGACGCCCCTGTCGGCCCCCAAGTGAGTTGTGTTCAATTTGAACAAGTGAGTCAGTTGTCCTGCACCTTGCCGAGTCCGTCGGTGCCAAATTTGTGACGATCGCGCCCATAGACCCGCCACAGAACCGTGGACAGTGCGGCGGGGCGGGGGTCTCGGGCGGCACAGCACCCTCTCCATCTCTGAAGTGCAGTGTGTCAACATGCACAATTTCTTTGAATGTTTCTGCTTTCATCCAGGATTGTTTACTTTGTGATTTCGAATATTATTTAAAGTGCAGCGTCGTGTTTTGACCATGGAAATGAAGAAAATAAAGTGTTATGTGCCAGGGTGGCGTGCTTTTGCTGTATCAGGTGATTGCAAGACCGTTTTTACTTTCCATCTGATACGAACAGGTTGGTGTGTTTCTGTGGTAGGTGGTTATTGTAGAACACTTTCCTCTATAAAGCTCTGCAAGAGTGTGGGAAATTCTGGGACAGTAAAATGGACCAATATTAAATTTAAAGAAAGATGTTGAAATTTAAGAAAGCGTTCTATTGTTATAAAATTTTTTTGCATCCCAACTCCACAGCACAAAGTTTTAAGCGCTTGGAGTTTTGCGGTGAGCATTTCAAAAATGTTTAAACCTACTATAACCCAAGAACGGTTTAAGTTACGGAGTATGTTTTTTCTTGAGATGGTTTCTAATCAAGTACTTAAAGTTCCCTACATAAAAATATTTTTATGTGCAGTCTCTGAAGAAGTCAATAAATTCAGCCCTGCTGGGTCCCCTTCAATTTATATATGTGTTATTTAGCATCATCATGTACAATGCAGTGTGCTGGTTATGGTCCTTGGAGTTGTAATCTTTAATGTTATAATCATAATTTGTGTGGGACATATTGGATAAGCCATGACATGATATGACATCAAGATTATATTGTATTTAGTCCTCTTGAAATAAACTTCTATCTCTGATTGATTTGGACAACTAATTTTACCTTATTTTCAAATTCCGTCAAGCTTTTCTTAATGTTTTCGTTTTGGTTTGCAGCTCTGGATCCTCATGACCGGGAATCAACCATTGCCAGTGCATTACACCTAGGGGGACAGCGTGTAGACCTGGAGCTGGAGCTACTCAAGCCATTACTCCTCATGTCAGTAAGAGTCCTGGTGACTTCTACACAGTCACTCCAGCCACAGCCAGTGTTACTCCACTTACATCATTTCAGGTAACTGTAACTTTTTTACATGTCCTATATTGATGAAGAGACACAGTGTATAATAAAATTTTCTGTTTGCAGTCTCCATCTAGAAGAAAAGTTCTTGCAAACTGGCAGCCATCACCCTTGCGCTCTTCTCCTTGAAGAGTAGGCTGCACTATACACTCTAAATGTCAAGGGACAATTTGGTCCGTAGATTTGCAACGATTTCGTGCACATCCAGAAAGGATGCAATTTTGTTCCGTTAATTGGACAAAATGTGTGACGCTTCACACAGTTATGTCCAATTAACGGAACAAAATTGCATCCTTTCTGGATGTGCACGAAATCGTTGCAAATCTACGGACAAAATTGTCCCTTGACATTTAGAGTGTACTAACTGTTTTGTAACCTTTTATAATTTTAGGTTCATGCCTTCACAAGTCCCTCAGCTCCAAGATTTTTCGAGGTCCAAAGGGCATTTCGCTTCTTAAGTTTTTGTGCAATGATTGTAATAATGTATTATTATGGAATATGTCATTTTATAAAATCTATTATGTTACATATTTCATATTTATGTTTGTGTGAGTTATAATTCTGGAAAACATTTGAGTTATCTTATGTACTTTGACTTTTGAAATTCAAACCCTTCCTCTATCTTTTACGGAACGACCATACTGATCAACAAAAAAGATCCCACATGTGGAGCCTGCC